CTTCTCCTCCTTCCTAATTTCATCCCTTCCTTTCCTTTTATCCTCCCTTATTCTTATCTCTACCACCTTCTGGCTCACTTCGCTAAATTTTCTTTTGCTCTCCCCTCATCCCTTCCTGCCGCTAGACTACCCCCACTACCGTCACTATCTTCCAAATTCCTCGATACCTCCTCCCACGATTTCCACACTCCATTTATTCTCACTCTCGCATAACCTGCCTTAACATCTACCCCATTACTTTTCTGTACCTTAACCCACCTATAAATTTCTTCCTGTACCTTCCTTTCCTCCCAGGTTAAATCATTTTCAATGAATATATTTCCACCCTTTAGTTTGTACTTATTCCTCATCACTTCTTTCTTGTCCTCCTCCTCCAGTTTAACTACGGTAACCGTGCCACTTTTCTTCACATTTATTACTTTACATCTTACACCTAATTTATCTCTTAAAAAATTCTGCGCCCACTCCTTCCAGTCTCTTTCTTGTTCTAAATTTATCCCTCTAATTACCACATTATTCCTTCTATCTTCCTTTTCTTTATCTTTCATCCATCTCTTAAGCTTGCCTACCTCTATGTCACTTAGCCCACCTTCGCTTATTAGGGATCTCGCATAGCTACTTCCCCCTCTGCTCCTTCTAGAAAATCTGCTCTCGCTAACACTTCTCTGACTTTGACTTTCGCTTTCGCTACCGATATCTGTCTCACCTTTCTCGCATCGCTCTAACCTATTTTCCAATTCAAACAATTTATTTTCAATTCCCTTTATTCTTTCCTCGTTTTTTCTTTCCTAGGTAATATAATAAACAAATATCATAAAAATAAATCGGTTTTATTAATTCTGGACGAGCAAACACAGTACACATGATTTTATATGATAGCGTGAATAGCCTTATTATTTTAGATTACTATATAAAACAAATATTATATAATAATTTTCTTTTTTTTCTAATAACTATTTTTTTAAATTTTTAAATATGCAATTCCATCGAAAACCCATATACAAGGATTTTATTAATTAATATCTTCATTTTTTTTAATACTGTCGTAATAAGCCGTTTAATGTGTGCTTCTTTCATTTTTTAAATATCATTTGGTTTACTTGGAGTAAATCTATATATAGTATATTATCCTCAAATACTATTAAATTATAAAACAATAAAAAATATGCAATGTGTACCTAAATAACAATGACTTTTATTAATAACAATGCCTTTTTAATTGGGGTGTAAAACCCCAGGTGACCGCATTTATGAAAAAAAAGAAAATGAGGCCTGTTCTCTGGTTTACATGATGCTTTTTTCTACCAGATATTTTAAATCAATTATCTTTTACGAGAAAAAAAATATAATCGTACAATTGTTTCTCAATTTAACGAACTTACCAAATTCGATACGGTCCATCTTCGCTATATATGCTCACGTTTTCTCGGGTCGTATATGTAAGCGCTGAAATTCTAGGGACGCCACGTTCAATCAACGACAAAGGAAGTCTGGCTGTGGGACTCTGAATACTTGATATCAACCACTTTACTCCGCGCACGCAGGAGTTATGGCCTTGATCCATACTGTGGGCAAGTTGCGCGGCACCTTCGCGTTACCGTCGCTGTCGCCGCCGTCGCCGTCGCCGTCGTGCACACGGTAAATCGTGTGCGCCGCGTGCGCTGTGGTATACCCACAGGCACGAACACAATGCGCGGTAATTGAGTTACAGAGGCATAGCGCTCGCACAGGCAACTCTTCAGAGCCCGTGAGCGATTCCACACACGTGGACGACACGATAGAATTGCAGGTCCGACCCGACCGCGTCCGGGCACATCCCTCGGAATGCGATACCGATAGACGAGAATCCGTACACCGATTTTTCCCGCTTTCAGAACGTCTTCCAGTGCTGCATCAGCAGCATATCCTAGAGATATGAATCTGATCTCTCTGAAACCAATATTACCGTGATGAACTTAACGACGCATCCTCATGACGAATAAATCATTTTAGGCGGACTATCAAGCAATTAAGTACGCGTTTCTTTTTATTTACTGTTTTAGTTAAAATACTGTCGACGTCTTTTAACTAATGATTCCAAAAAATATTAGGTAAAACGCTGAGTTTTGTGCATACCTATTGTATATTCGCGATGAAACTAACAGACAGCAAAAAAGTATCTGTCTTCACGTTGGATCCGCGTGCAACTTTTTCATCTTCACCAAGCGCTTTCTCTCCTCTTCATTTTTTCTACGCTCGTCCCACGCACGCGCGCGTAACCCGGCATACACGCAGCAACCGTGTCGCGAGGCAATATTTTTCACACCGCGACAGTGGCGATCGATTATTTCTGATCCGAGTAATAACAATATGTGAATGCAATTGCTCCGTCGTTTAGATTAGCTATTAATTGCTTCCCCCCTCGGTGTATTTTATATGATGGGTGTCATTTATGGCCGCGTCGTTGCAGCGCGAGAGAAACAACTTGATACTGCCTCCGGCGCGATTGGTTGCGTCTCGCACTGCGGGCGTTCGCGAGTTTAATGTGCACGTATGTACGTGTGTCTACGATTCAGACGGGTCTTACCAGCTACAAGTTCGATCTTGCGATTGGGACGCGACCTTTCTATTCCGAGAAAGAGAGAGGACGATTCGAATCGAATTTGTCATTCGAATACTTAACGTGAAGTCGAATCCAAAAATGAACGAGCGCGAACAAGGCCGAACCGTTCGTACTTATTGAAGCGAGAATGCTTATTCGCGTTTGTTCGCACTTGTTCACTCGGTCTGATTTGGCTCCGGCCTTACGCAAGTGATGGGATTAGTGATGATTACGATGAAGAACCTACGTCTGCAACCTTTCTGTGCTGTATAGGAAATGATTCGAATTTTCGGCGATTATCTTTCTAAACGAAATGTAATGCTTGTATATCTAAAAGATTTTGCTTTTTATTAAGGAATAACGTACGAGAGGCGATCTTTCTTTTTTAAATAAGAAAAATAAATTAGCAAATAACGCTGAAGTTAAGCCCATATTGCTGTCAAATTTGATATTAATTAAATCTACATTAATTTTTTAGGATTTGTAAGTCTAGCAACTACATATACACAAATACATATTTAAGAGATAAAGAAAAATTGTCTAAAAAATGAGCAAATTTTAAACAGCTGTAACTTTGTTTAAAAAAATGGGAATCCAAATCTAACAAAAGAATTTTGAAGCTTGAAATCTCTACTTTCAAAAGATCACAGCTGTTTTTCACTTTCTTCAATTATGGTAATTTTAACATAACACAGAAAATTACGAGCTCGACGAAATAAGCTTGTCACTTTGTGGGCGTGTTACGTGTACAAAAAGGACCTAACAAAGTTTCTTGACCTTTTCATGTCAAAGCCTAGTTTTCCTTTTTTTTTAGATTTAAATTTCAATTTTTTCTTATCAAGTTATCGAGAAATGGAGAAAAAAATAGGCATTTAGACTTTGATTGTTTATCTAATAGATTGAACTGAATTTTTGCTCTATAATATGGTATAATTGTAAAAATTCGCGATTTTTCTCTTTTTTATTTAAACCTCGGAAAAAATTATGCAAAATAACTGAAAAAATTTTATCGTCTAAACTTTTTGTGCCTCTTACAATTACTTATAGTACTCCAAACTTGGAAAAAATCATAGACTTGCTGTGATAATTTTTTTATAATGATCCGCACGTTTAAATGGATCGATGTATACAATGTATCATGGGAATACTTGATTTGCTTTGATAAAAAAATTTTAAAAATTCGTTGCAGAAAAATCTTTTCAGCATCCGCGTAACTGCGTTTAACTTCCTCAGCATAAAATTAAAAAAATGCAAAATGTCTTCTTTAACTTCTCCCAAAACGCACACCACGTACAAGTTGTACGGTCGGGTTTACGCTTCATTATGCGTGTTTATTTGAACATGTTGAACGGTTTAACGTCTCTTGCGAAAGACGGAATTTCTCTCACGGGAGACCCCGTTAATTTCTCGTGTGGAGAGGTGCAGTTTAGAACATTAAAATTCCTGTGATTAAGTGGACTCAAACCTGGTTTTTTGTGGTTACGAATCTGGCGCTTTACCATTAAACTAGGTCATAGGTCACCCCTTCAATAAAAATATTATCACAGCAAGTCTGTAACTTTTTTCAAGTTTGGAGTACTAAGAGGCACACAAATTTTAGATAAAATTTTTTTAATTACCTTACATAATTTTTTCCGAGGTTTAAATAAAAAAAAGAAAAATCGCGAATTTTTTACGTTATCTTCATCTTGTAACATGTCCACAAGTTTTTAAAAAATCAGTCATACCATTTCTGGAATTGTTGGACGCTGATTTTTAACGGAGTTATGAACAATCAAAGTCAAAGTGCCCATTTTTTTCCATTTCTCGATAATTTGATACGAAAAAAATAATATTAAAATCTAGAAAAAGGACTTATAAGGAAAAACTTCAGGTTTCCACATGAAAAGCTAAAAAAATTTGTTTAGGTCCTTTTCGTGTACATGACACGCCTACAAAGTGACAAGAAAATTTCTTATTTCGTCGAGCTCGTAGTTTTCTATATGTTAAAATGATCATAATTAAAGAAAGTGAAAAACAGCTGCGACCTTTCGAAAGTAGATTTAAAGCTTTGATATATATATTTAGATTCCCATTTTTTAAAACAAAGTTATAGCTTTAAAATTTGCTCATTTTTTTAGCCAATTTTTCTTGATTTCTTAATTATTTAGTGAAGTATATATACATATGTATATATTATATATTATCGAAATAGAAAAGATAAGAAAAGTTAAATATCTTATCGAGATCATCGAGATGAGCCTTAATATAATGCTATGTAATTCCATCTACAGCTACATAAGGACAAACAAGAGACGCAGAAACGTTAAGGTGGCACTCTCTAACGGTTGTTCTTTGCATTAACGGAGAAATGTTGGAGTTAAGTGTAAAATTTGGAATGCAATCGCGAAAGGGCAATTGACGCTTCGGTAATACTGTATTACGATTTATATAAAAGAGTTTGGAAGTTTATTTTCAAAATATTCTTAGCAAACATTAACTGTCAGAGCGCACTAGATTAAATAAGTTGTCCTAAGGTTTGAGAGGAATGTTGGGCCAGTATTGTGGATTCGCTGTATCTTCGTATCGCTCCACCGTACTCTGCAGAGCGGTTTCCATCGCCAATATCTTGGATCCGGCGTCGCCGTACAGCAGCTCTGCCTCCTTGTTTCTCACCCGGGCCTTCTCGGCGGCGCCGACGAAGGGCGTTTCCTCCGAATTCTCCTCGTGCGCGGCCCTGTCAAATCCGTCCTGTTGCCGCATCTCTCGCTTATGCCTCTCGCTCGTCTCAAAGAAGTTCAACATGTCCTCGGTCACATTGAACTCCAGGTCCTCATTATCCGTTCCGAGTTCCGCGTGGTTCTCGTCCCGCGTGTCGTCGTCATTGTTGTTCTCGCCGTTACCCTCCGCGTGATAACCGTCTTGCCGAGTGTCACGATAGCCGCGATGCCGAGCTAAGAGTCTCACTCGGTCGCGCAGCAGTTTGTTCTCGTGCTCGAGGGCGACGCAACGCGATCTCCACCAGGTTATGCTGTGTCTGCAAATCGGCAAAGTGCCTTTTGACGATCGACGATTCTCTTCGACCTTCTCTTCGACGTTTATTTCACTTGTGAACTCACCGTTTCTGCCATTCCTGGGCCACCGCGTAATTCTTCCAGAAAGCGTCGGCCTGCATCGTGCCCGTCGCTAGCGTCTCGCGTGCGTCGGTGACATACTCGGGGAAGACCTTCCAATGCCTTTCGGACCTAACCCTAACCTCACACTTGATCCGCTCGCGCATCCGTTTCTTCAGGCGTCGCTTCCTTCTCTGCTTCCCGTGCCGTTTCGTTTTGACGGCAAATTCCATGCTCGGTCGAATTTTCTTTGTTACGAAAAATCAGCTGAGTATACCTGACAGCCATAAGTACGTCATTGTTTACATTCCAATGCGCGAATCGTACACAACACAAACGCCATGACACATGACATCCACCGCGAAGCGACGGAGAACTTTTGGAGCAATATGATGTATAAATATTTTTATATTATAAAATGAATAAATCAGCGATAAAATATCGAAAAAATAATTTTTTAACAAATTAATATTTATTATGCTATCATGGACCTCGATGTATTTTTTTCTTATCAATTAACAATAAGATTTATCAACGTCAGTTGATATTTATTTGTTAGTGTATTTCTTACTAATTTTCCCCGTCTTTTAAATTATTTTATATACACTAGACAGAATGACTATAAGAGGGAGAAAACAACACATCAGGAGTATATGAAAGATTAAATAGGTGATTTTTATTAGAAATGTACAGTAATATCGTGAAGCTTTATACAAATCTAGAAAAGAGACTGTAACTTAGGTGAAAGTTACGCGTATATAACACTTATCGAGGTCTGAGGATGTCGTCTTTGTTATGTTTTCGCGCATCACAATCGTCGCGGGTTCTTTTTCGCGCTAAAATATCTGCACAGCTCTTGCATGCGCAGCGATTATAATCTGTTATGATTATGATCCCTTCCATTTTTTTCTGTACACGCAGTAAGTGTTATAAATATCTCAAAATTCAACACTACAATTAGTTACTTTTCGAAACTTATCGGTTACATTCACATTCTACAGTTTAGAATTTCAATCTCGATCACAATCAATCAATCACAACGTTTAAAGCAAAAGAATTGCATCTACCATCCAATTAAAAGAAATCTAATCGATATACATTTAGGAACGTGCTTCCTATCATTTATGCCTCGAAGCATCGATTTAATTTCGTTGAAAGCTGCGTGGAAATTATTGTCAATAATATGTTTAAAATATAAGATAATATGTGAGCTACCGTTTGCAGATGTAAAGATTGCAACAGATATATTATCCTCCGTTCGCGTAGACTCTCAATCAGTTTTCTGTTAGTGAATGATTATAAAGGTCCAGTCCTGACCTCACATATACGACATGTTCAATCCGCGTTCAAACGATACCTCGTCATCTCCTAATTTAACATTGGCGCTGCCTGAACTATTTCTTCTCGAATTGCTACGAGGACCATTAGCTCGGACATTATTACTGGACGCTTCGTCATCGCTTCCATTCGTTGATGACGATTTATGCAATGGCTCCAATCCGATAATTACACGAACATCATCAGGAATCTGATGTTCCACGGACATCAGCTGATAGTAAATACCTTCTGCCTTAGAGACTGTCCAAGGCAACTCGATATGAAGTGACAAGTCGTTTATGTGCTGTAAACAGTAACATTACAACAGGATAGATCTCGACAAATTCGCGATTATATCGGGAAAATGCTTTAAGTTACCTTCAAAATTTCCGTAAATCCGTAATTGTTCTCTATTAAAATATTCTTCTCTGTATCCAAAATAGCTGCACATATAAGCAAATGAAAGTTTTTGCAGGGTAGATCGGTCCATAGGATCTCCCATAATTTCAATATGTCGATCGCGCTAAATTCCCGCTTGAATAATACCAACAACCATCGAAAGCAAAAGAACATGTTGCCAGAATCGTGTCTATTTAGATAGTACGCTAATTGCGGTTCCGTAGTGCATAATAACGTGTACAATTGACACAATTGTGCTTTCATACCTTTCTGATCCATTTCAAAATTAGTGCTCTGTTTTAAAATAATAAAAATTACTTGCAGGTATACGTACTGCGTATTATACTACGTATGTATGTAGAGAACATCACTCTTACCACTTTATCCATGAATCCAACAAAACACCAAAACGCATCTACTTCATTATCCATTAAAAACAAGATAGGGCTAAGAAGATCGCTCATACCCTGAACATATCCTAAATCGAAATTGTACATTACGTAGGTCATGAGTATGTCGTATAATTGCTCCAAGTGTGGATTATTATCACCCGCATAATAAGGATGTGTTCTATCTGTCCTGTTAACATCCTTTTCTGAAATAACATTAAGAAATTCAATTTTTAATTCAAAACATAACTAGTCCTATAAAAATAACAATTTTACTACTTTACCTATCAAACTTTTTCGTTCTCTATAATCAGAAAACCGGCTCTCTTGCGCGGTCGTAAATGTACGCCATTGCAATTTCATCGTGAAATACTCGTCAGTCTTTTTCCTCTTAAGTTCTAATCTTTCGTTATGCGTCGATTTCCATGGGTAATAATTCAATAAAAATTTCCATACTTCAAAACGCAATGATGGACAAATACCCTAATAAATTATCATAAATATATCATAAAATTATGTTTTCACCATATAGAATACTTATATCATTGATGAAAAAATATTTAGACACATACCCCTCGAAAGATAATTTCTTTGACAGCTTCAGGATTAGTGATTCTTCCTTGTCGATCTTTACATTTCTCCCACTGTTCTTGTGTCAATGGCGCACCTGACAGAATTATAATTTTTATTTAAGCATAACATATATATTATATAATATATACATATATGGAGGGGTAAAAGCCATAGTGGTGTAAGTCAAATTTTTTAAGATATTGTACATAGATGCAAACTATACAATATATAAATTACTTATGGTTTTGACTCCTCCATATATACACAATTGAAAATGTTATAAGCAAACATCCCCTATAATTATAGTTATATCTGAATTTTTGAATGTATACAATAATGTATTATTACCACGTGGACATGGTGGTCGCGGAGGTAGGTCCACTCCAACTCCAATCACTTCGTACTCTTCTCCAGATCCTATAGACACAGATACATGCGGATGATGATCGATCGTAAGAGACTGATTTAATAAATCGGCGACTGCTTCTTCAACTGGTCGCTTTACTGGCTCTTTATACACTGTAACATTAGTAATATACATATATGAAACTATTTATGTTTACCGATGTAATGAAAATTAGGATCTATTTATTACTGATGAAGGATACAGGAGAAGAACGATCAATGTCCATCCAGAGTAATTTCGAGAAAAATACAATTTTAAGTTTCAAGAAATCAGATATCTCATATCTTGAAAATAGTACCGACAGTGCAAATATCGGAATGCGTAGTGTTTACATTGTATGCTGGACTTTAATGGTTCTACCTCACAAGCGCGTGGACTATGATCGTTTTCTCCCAGCGCAGTACATCTTTCGGCCTTATTTCCAATGAATTGTAACTGTTCTCGATCAAAACAGATAAAAACTATGAAAGTTCTTCGAAAATGTCACAAGATAGCATGATCAGATCAATTTCGATAAAAAGGGACTTTGATCCTTCAGATGTATTCATTACAGATTACTAATCTATCCTCTTACACCAGATATCTGCGAGTTTGCTGAATGCCTCCAGCGTTGTTTCATAGGGACGATTATGTAAGTTTTTCACAAACTTCCACACATAATCAGAAGCGTTCTCTTGAAACAGGTCCAACTCGGCGAAGGATTTCTTCAATACAGTCTCAACTTCGTCCATCACCAGATATAAATTTTTGTCCGAGCGTGATTTTACAAATTTAATAAATCCCTTCAGCGAATTTACAAAACTTTCAGCGTTAGCCAGCTGAAAGAAGGCAACGTAGGTGGTACCATCCCTCTGCATAAATATGAGCTGCTGTCCACCGTGATTCACGCGAAACGACTTCAAGTCGGAGAACAATATTTTAACGGTTCTCGTACGTCCGGAGTCCGGACCTTCCGAATTCGTGCGAGTCCTTCTCGTATGCGTATCCACTAAGGACCATTCTGGATCTTGATCTTGCCACTCCGATACCACAGAATCTTCTACAGGCTTCCATTCTATGCATTTGCCGAAACTCTGCAATGCAAAAATAAACAAGTTTCTTATGACAGGTTTCCGTATATACATGTTTACATAGCATTAACTGTAATAACAGAATCTTACATATTCCACGATATTGAGCGTTCCTGAACTGTGAACCTCGTCTTCTCTGGCATTTGCTCCACGAAGTACAACGCCCGTATGGATGCAGAGATCCTGGTATCAACAGAATTAATAATAAATCAAGGATTTGCAAGAAGTAATAGCTACCCAGGTAGAACATAAAACTCATAATGACATCATCAGGATGACGTCATCAGGACTTTATTCATCACTTAAAAATCACTTAAACGCTATTTTAACGTCACTTTGATCTCATTATGAGATCTCTGTTCTGCTTGGGTACATCTATGAAATGTAGAACTGCAGGTTCAGAAATTCGGAACATTAACGCGAGTGCTGCTGCTGATGTAATCAAAGATAATGGCCAACAGTGAATTATAGATACTATTTGTAACCAAATAACGAAATATCAAATGTAAATTGTAGTCCTAATTTCGACATGGAGAGAACCACCCACGCGTCGATCGTTTGCGAGTCGAGTCGCGAACCTAACCTCTCCGGCCAAACAGAAAAAAAACGCTCGGAGAGCGAGACCAAGCAAGACCGTCGATCGGATCGAACGCCGGGCGTTCGCGGTCACGGTCGATCGGTCGAGGACGCGGAACGTCGAAATTCCGCGCCCGCCGTCGAATCGCGCGACAGTTTCGCACACGGGTGTACGTACACGCGGGCGGGTGCACTCTCGGCGAACGTGTCATCCCGTGCGATCGCACGCGCGGAACGTGAACACGTTACGAGCACAGCCCGGCGTAAGTACGCGCCGTCCACGTCCACCCGCGACACGTCGGGAGGAAGAAACGGGGCGTCCCCGCGCTCACCTTTCCCTGCTCCGTGGGCTCAAACATCTCGGGCCTCGCGCGATCAGCCGTCGTCCTTGTTGAATTCAGCTCCCTGCACTCGCTCTCATCGCAACTGTCCCACATCGCGGCACTGTACCCTCCGTCCCGCTTCTCCCCTCCTTCGCCGTCTCTCTCTCTTTCTCTCTCTCTCTCTCTCTATCGCGTGCGCGCGCGCGCGTCCGAGGCACCCGTCTCGCTCGCTCGCGGACCGCGCGGGCGCCCGGCCCGCCGTTTATTGCGCGGCTTTGATCCCGCGTTGCCTCGCGAATTAAAATAATGAGCGCGCCGCGAAAGGGACCGGATGCTTTTCACCGAGTTGAAACTCCGGATCCTCCGCTTCTTGGGGCGAGCGGCGAACGTGATAGAGAACATTCTCGAACATTCCTACGTATAGCAAGGAGTATTGAAAAAATAATTCTTTTTATAGTTTACACACACACACATATATATATATATCGGTAGGGTAGCCGCTCTAAAAGTTTGAAAAAAATTACTCCTACCTTTTATAAGTGTCGGCACTCAAATTGGAGTAATAAGGGATCTAAGGGCTCGTCTAAACTTACCCCGTGTTCCTTTTTTACTGGCAGTGCTGAAAATATATAGTTTGCGTCACGTAACTATAGATTTTCAGTACTGGCAGTGAATAATTAAAGGAACACAACCATAGTAGTCGCATCTTTTTTCAAGACGCAGTTTTTCTTTTTTCAAGACACGGAATTCTCTCTATGTTTAATTCATTGTTCCTTATTTCTCTCATTGTGCATGAGCCCTAATAAGTCTAATATATTTATAGTGACGAAACCATGCTGTATGAGATTTAGAGTAGAGTACACTTCGAATATATAGACGTTATAGAAGCTCTGATATCGTCGCAGTTTCTAATGCAAATAGATCCGTAAATTGGAGAGATTTCATTTCTCATTGCAAACCGGTTTCGTTTAATCGGATTGAGAAGTTCTTCTTGACGAGAAGAACGTTTAAAGTGCGTGGCTTGTGGATGCGTAGAAACGCCCGCGAGTACTTCAAATGGATGTACTTTGATGTATGTACTTTCGCGTGTTTGCGGTGCGCAGAGATGTGCAAAATGCGTGTCCAAATCTATTTGAAATAGAAAGAAAATACAAAATAGTTGAAACCTTTCCCCATTTAAAAATATAGAATACAAAATGCTTTTTAGACAACCATTTAAAATAGGAAATGGAAAATAGGCATTTTTATAATGGTTTTAAAAAAAAAAATAGTTTTTTTTTAATATTTATGTTTTTATATTTATTTATATTTATATTTTTATTTTTTTATTATTTATCTAGTGCGGATCGTAAATAGCATTTTTCTCTCTAATTTTAATTGTATATCAACGGTCCTAGGTTTCACTTATTATTATTGTTTATTATTTATATTTTTTATTGTTATATTTCTTATACTTAAATTCTTTTTTTTTTAATGTACTTAAATTACAGAAATTGAATTACATAAACATTCATCACATATGGGATTACAAAAAATGTTTACCTACATTTTGTTTACAGACCTTTAATCATTCTTTTAAATTTACATTTTGCTGTTTAGAAGTGGATATTTTAAGAAGAGTTGCGTCTTACATAGCCATTGGGCGCGTCCAGCAGACCAAGCCGCTCAGTAGCAGTCGAACGTGATTGGCTCTTACTTTTAGAACCAACCAATCAACGCAGATTGTTGATAAGACGAACTCAACAGTTGTGTCTGCTGAACACGGCCATTAATAAGTAGGGGAGACCGGGGCTAAAACGTCTACGGGGTAAATATGTCTAATTAAATATCTCGGAACCTGTGCGAACTCGCTATTAACATTGTAAACGCTGCTTATGGTACCCATGTGACCAACGGAAGATACGTGATTATAAAGAGTAATGCATGCTGAACATGAATCCAGTGTAGTTTTTTCATTATCGTTGATGTCTAATATTTCGTGGGCGATCAAACTTGAAACTTGTGTTTGGGGCTAATCGATCAGTAAGCACCCGGGGCTAATATGGCAGTCTCGTCACTGTGGAGCGCCGGGCGCACGACTTCAGTTCACGGCGATTTCAGATTTCAGGTTAGGTTTCCCTCGAGCGTGATTCTATCTTCCCTTGCACGTGCGTCAGTTTGTATAGGAGGGAAATGGTACGCACGTATCGTCGCAAAACGACTCCCGTTGACAAGGAGCAACTCAAGAAGGCAGTTCTTGCGGTGAGAAAAGATAAAATGAGCGTTTACGCAGCCGCAAAACAATTCGATGTCCGGAGAACCACGTTGAACAACTGGTTGAAGAAGAACAACGATGAGATAGAAAACTTGGATAACGTGGTCGTACTACATAAAGGACACTTCTCGGTGAGTACTTACGATTATTAATTTTTAAAAGCATGCACTCTGCTCAGCAAAGTTTATATTTATGCAACGTCTTAATTTCAAATGTAGGTTATGGACTCTGAAACTGAAAAGACTTTGGTGGAATACTTAGTACATTGCAACGATATGTACTTTGGGCTATCTGCGAAGGAAACCCGTGGTTTAGCCTTTGATTTAGCTAAAAAATTGAATCTGAAGGTACCAGCATCGTGGGAAGCCGCTCGCATGGCCGGTGAAGATTGGCTAAGCAGCTTTCTCAAACGACATCCAATATTATCCATATGCAAACCAGAAGCGACAAGTTTAGCATGTGCCACCAGTTTCAATCGAACAAATGTAGAAAGGTTCTTTGCGCTGCTAAAATCTGTGTGGGATAAATATCGTTTCCCAATTCACTGCATATGGAATATGGATGAGACGGGAATAACAACCGTTCAGACACCGAACAGAATCATCGGCCGAGTGAAACAAATCGAGCGAGTGACTTCTGCGGAACGAGGAAACCTCGTAACTTTGACGATGACGGTGTCAGCGATTGGGCAATTTTTACCTCCTTTTTTTATTTTTCCTCGTAAACATTTCAAGGAATATTTCCTTAACGGCGGACCACCAGGCTGCACAGGTGAAGCGAATCCAAGTGGCTGGATGAACGCGGAGCATTTTGTCAAATTCTTACAGTTTTTCCAGTCCCATGTGCATGCCTCCGTCGACGATCCAGTTTTACTGATACTCGACAATCAGGAATCACATTTGTCCATCGCTGGTCTCGACTATTGTAAAGCGAATGGAATCATTGTCCTATCATCACCGCCGCATTATTCGCATAAGCTGCAACCGCTGAAACGCACCGTCTATGACCCGTTAAAGAAATGTGTAAACGCACAGTGCGATAACTGGATGACGTCTCATCCTGGTAGGACAATGACGATGTACGACATCCCCGGAATCGTGGCTAAGGCACTACCACTTGCCGTAACGTATCAAAATATTGTGTCCGGGTTTGAATGCACTGGAATTTCTCCATTCAACCCAGACATTTTCCAAGAATACGAATTTTTGACGAACAGCGTTATGGATAGAAAGTACCCTTTTACTTTCGTTGATCCTGAAAAAGTCTACCTCAACGCAACCGACTCGGACGCCGATCAGAACGAAGACAAAGTCGATCCCATGGCTTTATCTATGTCTCATTATGGTGATACATTGTGGGGGCACTTGAGCGCAACGAAACTTGAAAGTATTCCTGAAAGCCGCTCCGAGACAGCCGACTCATGAAGAACGAAGAACGAGCATCGTCCTTACTGGCTCGCCTCAAATGTGGGAATTGGCGACTGAGCAGTAAAATTTTAAATAAATTTTTATATTTTTCTCTTAAAAAACAATTATTGAAATGTATCCTATCATTTTTCAGGATTAGATGTACGTATATGTATTGAAAATGCAGTGTGACAGATTAGTCCCGGGGGATTAAACCCCGACATTTTTGAGATTTCAATTTTTCCACCGTTGTCGTTTTTGCTCTAGTTGCTACCGGTTAAACAAAGCGACGTAGATAAAAATTTCCTATATAAATTTTGTAGTTAAAGGTTCACTCTTTACAGTGGTATACCACATTTAACTAAAATTATTTATTTTGTTAAAAATCGGCACAAAAAAAACTGACGGTTTAGCCCCGGTCTCCCCTATCTATGAAATATTTTTTTATTATGTTATTCAAACTGGTGGGTTTTACGAAGCCAATATGGTGAATATTAAAAGTAAATATTCGACCATTTTTAATTTCGCCATATTGGCTCTGTCATTTTAAATTGATCAATTTTGACATCAAATTCGTATTTGAATAGCATAAAATAAAATATTTCATGGGTCTCAATAATCGCAACTTTGACGCAACAGACTCTATGTTAATCATCAATATCTTTTTAGTCATAATCGACACAACAAATTCCTTTTAAGGGTTGAAAACTTGTCCAACGTCATATATCGTAGTTATAATGACAAAATATATTAAAATAGTCCTTTTTTGCAATTTTAACTGTAAATTTCTCAAAATTGTGAAGGGATAGAGCATTTTAGTAAACAGGACCGTAGTATTCAGCGTTTAAAAAAAACTACGAGAAATGATTATTCTTGGCGTGCACTTATTGATATCGCGATTAATTTTTAGTTTGCAAGAAAAATGCATTTGAAATAGAAAATGGGTAATGAAAACCATTTAAGTAAATGGAAATGTAAAATAGTTTTTGAAACGGAACGTCCCGGTGTTCTTCCGACAGTCCCGATGCCCTAAACGGACGGGTTAAAACTCGGGCGCAACACGCCATGCATTATTTAGTACGGCAAAGTGCGCGTCCCGGGGTGATAAACGATAAATTTCGCGTCTCTACATTTTCACGAGTGCTTCTCTTCACAGAGACTCTCGAGATCTGTCTCGAGACTCGAGATTCGACAGATCAATCGACAGAGAGAAGATCACGCACACACGATTAAAGTTAAAGTTACGCGGAAATTGCTTCTCGACGCCTGCGCTATTGCAATCCGTTGCGCATCATGTGTACAAATAGTCGCGCGCGCAAATAAACAGCTGACGCTATTGCCTATTTTATAGGAACGACAGGCCTCGGTCTCTTGAGCGATGAACTCAGAAACTAAAACAGTCGAAAGATAAAAAATAAGAAAGGTTCTATTGTTGATTTGTGCGCGACTCAATATTGATAAGATTAAAACAAACCATCGACACTTGGACCCTATTTGTATGATTATCTATGGAAGTATGCAGCTCCAGGGACCAGGAGATAATGAAAGAATGTTTTAACATTTATCGACTACCGACTATATCGATACATTTTTTGAACGCCAACTAAAGGGGTGAATGCTTTCGGAGCCTGATGCTAATACTATTTTAGGGGGCCCTTTTTTCGAGCAGAACAGAAAATTGCAATGACGTCAAAAAACGACAAAAAAATTTACTATAAATACTAACTTTTCTATCATGATTAAATTATTTTCTCGTTATTTTGATATTATAATGTTCTGTTCTATCTAAATAACAGCTAACATTTGAACATTAAGGGGATCCTAAAGCCGTCTGTAATACCGGCTTTTTTTCTTAGCACTAATCTTTTAATTGACTTTATAGAAATGCAAAATTATTGTCTAGAATTAAAGTACGCATCAAAATCTAGGTCATGGTGGTCAAATTTATATCGAAAACGAAAAAAAATTAATATTTTTGTTAATTTTTGGTATACGTGACGACAATATTGCTTTGTACAAAAATTCCACGATAAATATCCACAAAATTAGACCGGCATGACCTAGGGACAACATTTAAGAACAATATCGTGCAATTAGATCTAAGATTGAAAACCTAGAAAAAAAGATTACTTTATATAACTTTTATATGTGCAAAAGCACATTCAGGTTGACAGGATAAGCAATATTGCGTGTGGCAAGAGATGGCGCAGTAATCGAACAAAGACAGATGCCTCCCGTTAGACAAGGACAGATATAGATATATGACAAGAAAACAGAATTAGAAGTGTTGACATTACCGACGTCGAGGAAGTTCAGCCTTCACTTTAGGATCCCCTTAAGGCTCCTGGTCCCTGAGCCGAGAACTCTGCGTTGACGGTGGCGCCGCCACTCTCTTCTCTCACTCTCTCCAATGGAGAATTCTGTCTTGTGACATGTTGACAACCTATTTTGTTGTGCGTGCTATTTCTTTATTATTTGCTCTGTGCTTGTGCTCTAACGTTTAACGTATTCGTGAAAGTCGTAAAATTGGCCGAAAAGTAAGATTTGTATGCGGAAGGAACGTTTTCACCTCCTTTCGATAGTCGTTAAACAGCTGTTTTTCCCGTATGTTTAGGCTTCGTTTTATGGCTGTTTGTTTATTGTCGAGGGAAAAGGGTAGTTTTCGGCCAATTTTGGAAGTGTTCTGAAACGATCTATAGTGATGTTTTATTGAAATGTCTTTTTATTTGAAAATGGCATGCACAACAAAATTGGGTGTTTTCCTCGCCTCGATAGTAAGAATCCAATATGGCCGCGGTGACTACCCAGGAGCCTTAATAAATATCTATACAATTTGAATAAAATGTGTTTTAAGCAATATTCATAAAAACTATAGACAGTTTACACACACACATACACACACACACACACACACACACACACACACACACACACGCACGCACGCACGCACGCACCCACGCACGCACGCTCGCCCGCCAGCCCCACAGTGGGGCGAACGCCTCACTTTTCGGTCATTTGCTTATAACTTCTACATTTTTCAATGAAATAACTTGAAATTTGACATAAATAATATACTATTATTATACATTTATTGTACGAAATCAAAATTATTTAATTAACAATTTTTCATAAAGCGCATAGATGATTTTTTTATTTTTTAAATACTTTTTAGTTGTTTTTTTAAATCGATTCTATTAAAAATTTTTTTTTTATTTTATATTTTTTTAGTGCTTCATTAAATTAATATGAATAATTATTATCGCATATTTCCTTACTGCTCTGTACCCTGATGTTCTAGCGCGTTCTATTTGATAGTCTTAAACCTCGGGATATTTAATTTTTGTGAGTTTTATAATAGAAAAAGAACTGTTTTTTTGCTTCTCACATCTATTTCTTGAATTTAATCATCATAATCTACATCATTATCAAAATATAAAATATAATAGACATTTTGCATCTTCAGTTAATTCTTTCTTTTTATGTGCCATAATTTTTCGCGAATTAGATATTATTGGATCTGAAGCAATTATTAAATTATTAAAAATATCTTCATTATTTTGTATTCGCGACATTTTTCGCGAATGATTTTCTATATATTTTCTAAAATATTTATGGTTTGCTTCCTGAGCATCTTCAGATGTCCTATTGGTACGATAGCATTTTTTATAATGTCATTGCCATGAATCAATAATTTGTGAACTGAGACTGGCATGTAGTACCATGGGTATAATGATACAAATAATTCGGCAGTTCTAAAAGCATAGGATTCGAATTCCAACACGTTAATCCTATTACCGCTAGCGATTACTTGCAACAAAATTCCAAATCGAGTTATTAAAAATAATAATCGAGATTAAGCGACCCAACTGGCCAATTTCTATTTATTCGTCTCACAACGTTTTCGACCCCGATTGGGTCCTTCTCAAGTGAGATTACACGAGTTATTAAATTCTTATCTAAACCTGTAATGGCAGCTGATAATTCTGGATTAGCAAAAAATTTTCTGGCCGTGTTGCCATCATTGGATGTACCTTTTCCTTGTTTCACAAAGCCTATCAAGAGACCTGCTTTTGTTCTGAAGGCAGTCTGTATCTCTCTTTTTCTTTGCTCGACTTTTTCTTTATGTCTCTCATTCCTCGCTGACCAACATTTGATATTAATTTTATACGAAATATGTAATAAGCATTCGAAACAGCGAATCCACAGCAATGTAATGAAGAAAGTCCGAACGAAAAGTATTCATCTTTCACAATTTTTTGTTTCATTAAATTCAAATTATTCATTTTACTTGGAGAAGCGCCACAAATATAACATTTCATTGATGATTTAGTATTTGTCATTATGTTACAGATTTTATTGTTGATCATAGTAAATAAAAGCGTATGCTGTATCGAAATACCTTCTTCGGAAACAGTTGATATCAAAGAAGATATTTCTTCCTTAGTTCTCTCAGTAATAGCTTTAACTTCAGTTTCTTCTTTCTTCACGAATTTGAATTCGATCGGTCTACCGAAACGAGTTGAGGAAGGGGTATTGTTTGTCCACAATACTTCGCCATTTTTATTAGAATAAATTTTTATTAGTACAAAACTGCATATAAAAATACTAGAATCATCGTATAAGGGATGATCAAAATTCAACTTGTAACGCGATTGATTGGAAGCACCATCGCATCCCCATTTAGATATCATCGTTAAATTTGCAGATGCACTTAAGCGAGGACGTAGCAGTTTAATGAATCTAAAAGCAGTATGATCCAAAAGACTTCGTAGAGAGACTTTAACACCTATTTTAGAAATTTCTATCGTTTCTCGCTGTGGAAAACAATCTTTTTTCGATAATTGAATTTGATAATAACTAGGTAGTGCTCTAAGGGTGTATTCGGGAAGCACGCTATTAGCACAATTATCGTCCAAAACTGTTCGAGGAGACGCTTTGTGGCGCTGTGATATACGATGATGACGTCACTGTAAAGG